TTTATGAAGAGATTGAACAGGACTGGACCAGGACTTTTAGAACTATAAAACAGCCAGAGCTTCCCACTGAAGTCCAAGAGGGGGCTAAACATGTCCAAGAAAGTACTAAGCCTTCCTTGCTTTTGTACCTTGATTTCCATTGCACCTTCATAGGTGATGTCTACAGCAGATGGTGGAATGATGACTCCATCAAAGAAAAGGAACGTACTGCAGCAACACCTAGAGAGCCTCTGCAAGGGTATGTTAGCTATATTAAATAGGTATTGTTCTAGTTCTGGTAATGGAAGAGTATTAAACAACTTAATAAACAAATGTTTGTCTTGACTGATCTACTTGGCCCTTTCAAGTCAAGCAACTTCTTTCATCTTAATAGCTTTTCTGCTTAACAGTGCTGAAATGACTACATGGTGGCTCACGGCATGCTGCGTGTGTACAGGAAACCTTCATGTTTCCTACACTGCCAGAGAAAAAAAACCAAACAATAAACAATAAACCCATAGGGCTAAATTTGAGTGCATAAAACAAGCATAACCTCACTGCCACAGTGACAGCCAAGAACATACAGTCAGCCACATGCCTAGAGCCTTCTGCCAAACATTTCAGAACAAAGATTGACTTGGGAGGCTCCTTTAAACACCTACACACTGAATTACAAGAATCAGGGCTGCATGCACCAACAAATTCAACACTGAGTACCATACCCATGCACATCCCTGAAGACTCACCTTGCATGCCAGGGTTGCCTCTCCTGCACGCATGTGGGAACGCAAGACACTTTCAAACCCATGCTCTGGTGCCCCTGAGGGACACGAGGCACTTCTCACAGCGGAGCAACAGCTATGCAGACAGCTTACCTAGCAGCGTTGAGGCTGCCTCCACAGCGCCATTGTAGATCTCCGTGCTGTGAGAAGGCAGCACCATCTCCCACAGACCCTGAGCGTAGTTGATGACCTGGAAGTAGCCACAGGTGGACAGTGCCCACCACACCGACCAGCAGAGCAAGGTCTGGGAGGTGTAGCACTGCAGGAAATCCTGCCAGAGATCTCTGAGCACCTTCACAATGTTGACTTTCTGCTCTTGCACAGACTGGAGAAGAAAGGGGAGATAAATGTTAGTCTCTGTTTATCAATACTTCACACTGCTCCACAGAACTGCCCCTTTCAAGTGGTCTGCTCACTGGTGACTGACAGTGCCACTCTGGGACATGAATACCCATGCTTCCTCATGCCACAGTCCCAGCAGCTGACCTCTGCCCTAGCCAGAGCTGTCCCCTTATGCAGGGCAAGGGTTCAGTCTCAAGCACCCCTCAACCTTTGGTTCTCTCACACAGAGAGCAAAAACTGCTAGTCGTTGGAAGGACTACATGAGTAACTGAAGGGTACCAGAGAGAAGAGACGCAGGAAAACGGGACACAATATCCACTCTGACAAGACAGGAACAGAAGCCAGTCATTCAAATCATACTTGTCCTAAGTCCTCATCCAAATTCAATCAAATTTAGTAGCACAGAGAATGTGAAAGACATCAGATAGGCATTTTTTTCCCCACAAGTCAGTTTTCTTTGGTAGTAGCATATAAGGTTTGTAAATATTCAAAGAAGCAATCCCATTACACCACTTTCTACCCCTGTTTATGTTCGCCAAAGCACTAAAGGTGAGAGATGTTGTCTGGGGATCTGAAGAGAAATGGAAGCTCCTTCCACCAGACACTGCTATTGCAAATGGCAGTTCCTGCATATATAAGTGCTCTGACAAATGCCATGAGATAAAGATTAAGCTTTCTCCTCTAAACCTTTCTAGAAAGAGCACAGAGTGGGTGAGATCCATGAAATGGTTTGAAAAAACTTTGAAAACAGGTAAGCTCCAGCAACAGGGGATGACGACAAATGAAAATTACCTTTTATATACAGTCCTGTTCCTAAACACTTTATGCCAACAGCAACAGAGGAAGCAAATGTATCTTTACTTTATAGATGAACCTGCTAATTATGTTTGCTGTGCGTGCACACAGCATCTTTGTAGACAGGCAAGACCCTTCTCATGTAAGTCAGAGCAGCCATTACTTCATGTGAGACTGGGCAGAGCCCCCAATGCCCACCCAGCATCTCCAGCCCCCCTTGAACGTGGACTCCCTGCAGGAAAACGTACAGCACTGTGACAGGACCAAGCAATCGCGCATTGTGGCATCACACATCC